AGTACATCTGTAATGGGTACTAATAGCACTTAAGGTGCAAAATGACAAAAATAACCAACAGCTAATTCCTTATGCCCCTCTACCACTTGAGATGTTATTGGTAATTTCCAATCTTTTATTTGAATCTAATTTAATGTATTTTTATTGAACAAATTCTATTGATCAAATGTAATTTTATGGATCAATCACAATCCATAAAATAAGGTTTAATATTTCAAAATTTTTTCTGAAGTAAATTATTATATTTTTTGTGATCGATTTACCAATATTAGATCGATCAGAAATCAATCAGTCTCTTATCCATCACAATTTACTTGTTCGATCACACTCCTTTTGAAATCAAACATATTTACAAATATGATTGATCNTGATTTACCAATATTAGATCGATTAGAAAACAATCAGTCTCTTATCCATCACAATTTACTTGTTCGATCACACTCCTTTTGAAATCAAACATATTTACAAATATGATTGATCGTAATTATACTGATCGATCGTAGTTATACCTATTGTTCCCTAGCAAGCTCCCACTGGGGATGGCAGTGGAATGGGTAAAAATGGATATTCGTCCAAACCCACCCCGTTTGGATTGTGGATGAACTATACATATTGGACGGTAGACATATACGAGAACACCCATATAAACTTGTGCAGAGATGAAGGCGGGGATGGACTGACTTACCCCCGCTCCGCTTTACCTGTTATTATTATTATATATACATATACATGTTGTTGTGAATATAAATCTACATATTATTGAATGATTTTTTCTTTTGAAAATTGTTTTATTTTTTGATTTTTTTTTCATGGTTTTGGTTTGTAAAAGTGTACTTCTTTGTGTTTTATATTTTTTTATGTTAGATTATGTTGTGTTACATGATATTGTGTTGGATTTACAAGGGAGACAAACTTTTAATTGTATTATGTTTGATTATTTAAAATGTTAAATTTATTTAGAATTTTGGATTATGTTGACTTGAGCTTGGGTAAGGTGGACAGAGGTGGGGATGGAGGTGAAGGCGGGGGCAAAGATTACAAATTTACCTGCGAATGGGGATGAGGATGAAAACTATTAACGGGGGTGGATTGGTGATGGACAAAGTTATTTTAAGCGGGTGCGAGGATAGAGACTACACCCCCGGCTCCCGTTTCGGTCCACAACCATCCCTAGCCCCATCTTCATCCATCTTGTTGTAACTCATTTGAAAATATCGATCGATCATAATATACTTTTAACTCGCAAGTTACCTTTTTAGCCAATTGTCCTCTTATGCTCTTCTTTTTCCCATTGTCCTTTTCTCTGACAAGGCCCCCACCAGCTTTTCAGTATGATACCACTCTCCCACTATGCGGTACCATAGAAGTTCCTTACAACTCAAGACTTCAACAAAAGCTTCCTTAGGTGTGATTATCATAAATGAAAAGGGACAATTGGATTTGATCGGACAGATGAGAAAATTAGTTGATATGCGTATAAACTATTCTGGATATCTTGACCCATTGAACTAATGAAAAAAAAAAGGGTTCAATAAATGGAAATGTGAAGGAAATCCCTATTATGTCGAGTCTATACTTAGAAGTTGNATTCTGGATATCTTGACCCATTGAACTAATGAAAAAAAAAAGGGTTCAATAAATGGAAATGTGAAGGAAATCCCTATTATGTCGAGTCTATACTTAGAAGTTGTAGCTCTCCGTGAAGATTTCTTATTGCTACAACCGTAAAACTCAGAGACGCAACTATAGAAAGTAATTGCGAAGTGGTGATGTGCCTCTAATGGCACAGTCAATGGGTGGCAATAAACTATGACTCGTTCTTTGCCGACAAAATAGGTCGTACCAAATCCACCAACTAAGTTACGTGCAATTTTATCTTCTGAATGTNAAACTATGACTCGTTCTTTGCCGACAAAATAGGTCGTACCAAATCCACCAACTAAGTTACGTGCAATTTTATCTTCTGAATGTATTTCAGGTCCTTTTTAGTTAATGAATATGATGCAGCGAAGAATGAATAGAGAAACTCGATCGGATTACAAAAATTATAATTTGTTGATCATTGCAATAATATCGTACTGCACCCTTCAAGAGCCTTATTAATTCTTAAGAATACTAAGACAATTGAAAATTGAAAGAGAATTCGTCTCTAAATTTTATTCAAAATAAAACCAAAGTTATTGAATAAGTTTTCACCACAATATAAATAAAAAAAAAACCTTAATAGTTTTAAATTATCATAAAAATCAAACAAATACGCAATATTATTAAAATACACCAAATANGACAATTGAAAATTGAAAGAGAATTCGTCTCTAAATTTTATTCAAAATAAAACAAAAGTTATTGAATAAGTTTTCACCACAATATAAATAAAAATAAAACCTTAATAGTTTTAAATTATCATAAAAATCAAACAAATACGCAATATTATTAAAATACACCAAATAACGGGATAAAAATAGAAAAAGTGCCTAAAACAAATGTCTAAACTTCGTTTTTTTTGGCTAAAAAAAGATTGGGCTGAAGGCAAAAAAATGTTGCTCAGATTACCTTGANTTTCACCACAATATAAATAAAAAAAAAACCTTAATAGTTTTAAATTATCATAAAAATCAAACAAATACGCAATATTATTAAAATACACCAAATAACGGGATAAAAATAGAAAAAGTGCCTAAAACAAATGTCTAAACTTCGTTTTTTTGGTTAAAAAAAGATTGGGCTGAAGGCAAAAAAATGTTGCTCAGATTACCTTGAGTTTTTCAGAATGGGGACTCAAGAAAATTTTTGACATTGCTGCTAAGAATTAGTCCTGATTGATGTCTAATCATTGCAACTTTCGAGGATCTTGATCTGCTATGTAATTTTTTGGTACATGTGCTTCATTAGAATATATGCGATCTGTTCAAAAAAATAGTTAGTATCATTTTTTATCCGTGAAGAAAGTAACCNTGGTACATGTGCTTCATTAGAATATATGCGATCTGTTCAAAAAAATAGTTAGTATCCTTTTTTATCCGTGAAGAAAGTAANTGATTGATGTCTAATCATTGCAACTTTCGAGGATCTTGATCTGCTATGTAATTTTTTGGTACATGTGCTTCATTAGAATATATGCGATCTGTTCAAAAAAATAGTTAGTATCATTTTTTATCCGTGAAGAAAGTAACCACCAGAATAGATTCCACTCTATAGAAAAATGAATTACCTGAATGCTAATTCAATAGTGGTGATTCATTGAAACATGTAAAAAAAACCAATTAATGAGAGTGGAAATACAATTTCCACACAAATTCTACTCAATAATTTAAAAACTATTATATCGTTTTAACAAAACAAGAAATTATATTTTACAACACGAGAGAATACGAAAAGAATTAAATAATATGCACTCTTCTAGAAAATGTAGAATTACCTTAAAACANTTCATTGAAACATGTAAAAAAAACCAATTAATGAGAGTGGAAATACAATTTCCACATAAATTCTACTCAATAATTTAAAAACTATGATATCGTTTCAACAAAACAAGAAATTATATTTTACAACACGAGAGAGAGTACGAAAAGAATTAAATAATATGCACTCTTCTAGAAAATGTAGAATTACCTTAAAACATCGCTTTACAGTTATTCAGCTATCAATCACATTAAGAGATCACGTTTATTGACATACACAATCAATTGTGGTACAAAAGTCATTGAAGAATCAAATGTTATGTTGCTCCTTCTATTGAGAAGTACTCCCAGACCATTCCACTAATAAAATTCAAAGCCAAATTAAATTCGAAGCAAATTCTAATCCATACCTTAAAACTTTCGAGAACTACAGTGGAATCTTACATAGGATTCGAAACTTAATGAAGGATGCTGGAATTGAATCAGAATTGATAGAATTCTAAAATGAGGGGACCCAAATCTGAAATTGGGAACTGAGGCAGTGCCACGTAAGGGTACATTGAACGTCTACGTATGGGCAAATTCATGTATGAAAATGGGGGGAGGAATAATTAAAGGCAAAAACATGGGACCCCATATGACCCACTTGTACGAGGTTCATTGAATTGATTTGTCACCATCCCCAACTTGTATCTTCTCTCTCTCTCTCTCTCTCTCTCTCTCTCTCTCTCTCTCTCCCTGAAGCTAAAGAGCTCAGACATTCATATGCAATTCTGCCCCTAACAAAGTTCAATGAACTAGCTTTCATACCATGCCTTATAAGACCCTTCTCTCCAAATCCTCAAAGGCCAAATCTTCTGTCTCTCCAAATCCCCAGAAGCCAAATCCCCCACCCCCCCTTTTTTCTGCCTCTCTCTCTCTCACACACACACACACAAACCACAGAATGGTGGTTATTGGGTGTAAAGAAGAGGTATATCTGTCTTTTGCAATCTCAATGCTGATGGTGTTTTATCTTTTTCTCATAGTGTTGGAGTCCCCATGGAGCAACGGAGGACTGTCATGGTTGCCACAAGACTCTTGCTTTCCAGTCTCCACAAAGAGACTATCATCGGTAATTGATTGTAATGTATCAAGTATTAAAGGCGAGGAATGCTACTCCAGTGGTGGTTTGCTTCACTGATAAAAGAAGAGAACTAGTGGAAGCAGGATTCTCTTTCTCTCCCTCCCTCTCTCCCCTTCTCTCTCTCATCTGTGAATTTCAGACTCCGTGTACCCAGTTGTATATTCATTGAGGTCTAGGCAATATGAATCTATTTTTTTTTTTATGAGAATTCGTAATGGCAATTATTTTCGTTTTCGTTTTTGTTTTTGTTTAAATGCTTCCCATCCTCATATTTTTGGGTTACAGGAGTGGGGAGGGGGAACCTAGAGAGGAAGAGAGAGAGAGAGAGAGAGAGATTGGATCCCCTGCCGTCAACTAAAATTTCCTCTTAACTTTAATCCCTTTACCTCCTATTCCTACAAACATTTTAGACGAAAGTGAGATTTTATGCCAAGGACTGAACAATGATATGATCATGAATTTCCCGAACAATCAAATAATGTTAACAGATTATATTTAGGTACCGCGCTTCTATTTTTTGGTATGATACTCAAAAATAAAAAATCTCCTTACTTGCCAATTTTCCGTAAAAGATTATAAAAACTTAGTGATGACTGATGAAATCGGTATATGTATTTGAACATAGTAATCAAAATATTTTTCTCATAATTTTATTTTAAAATTTAGATGAAATAGATCTCAAAGATTAAAATGCTGTAGAAAAACTTTCCACACCATGTTTGGATTGGATTACGTTTTATTTAAACATGATAATAAAAATTATTTATCTTATAAACTTAGTTTAAAAAATTGACGATCTAGATGTAAAATTTAAGGATATATCCTAATAATAAATTGAAGGATCTATCCTAAAAATTTAAAGGATCTATTGCAATAATTAGCGTGATTGAAAAATATGTATTCAAAAGTGATAACAAAAAATAAATGAAACGATAGAGGTGGATATTACTGTAATGTTGAAAAAATAAAAATTTATGTTGAGTGGAGTATGGGTCCAATTAAGTATATGATCATGGTGCAAAATAATCGGTCATGATCTAATTTAAGGAATGGTAATAAAACTAAATCATAAAAAATGGACATTAGTATAATTTTAAAAAATATTAATTTATGTTAGATAGTAGTGTTATCAATATCAATCATGCTATTCTATAATGGATTTTAACAACTTAAGTATGATCAATCATGCTACAACATGATTGATCATGGTGGCATTACAATTTCAATTTTTTTGGGTTGCATTGGGGTTATAATTTTTTTGGGTTGCGTTATAATTTTTTGGGTTTTGTTACAATTTTTTGGGTGGGATTACAATGTTTTTGGATTATGTTACAATTTTTTGAGGTGAAGTTATAATTTTTTTGAGTTATATTACAACATTTTGAATTGGGGTTACAATTTTTTGGGATTGCGTTAAAAGATTTTAGGTGACATTATAATTTTTTTTGGTCGAATTATCAAGTTATGTTACAATTTTTTTGAGTGGATTTACAACTTTTTAGGGATGTGATACAACCATTTGGGGGCGGTGTTACAATTGTTTGGTGTTGTGTTGTAATCTTTTGGGGTGGATTACAAGTTTTTTGGGTTGTGTTATAATATTTTGGAGGTTATGTTACAGCTTTTTTTGGGTGAGTTACAACTCTTTTAGATTGTGTTACAACTATTGGAGTGGGTTTACAACTTTTTGGGGATGAAGTACAATTTTTTTGAAATTGTGTTAAATGCTTTTAGGTGGCATTACAAGGGTGGGGTTTTAGAATTGCGTTAAATGCTTTTATGTGGCATTACAAGGGTGGGGTTATAGGGTTATGTTATAATTTTTTTGGGTGAGGTTATTGGGGTTATGTTACAATCATTTGGGGTTAAAAGCTTTTGTCAAGCATTACAATCTTTTGAGTGGGGTTACATCTCTTTGGGATGGCATTACAACCTTCTGGGATAGGGTTACAATTTTTGGGGTTGTGTTACAATCTTTTAGGATGGAGTTATAACTTTTAAGATTATGTTACAATTTTTTGGGTATGGGGTTACAACTTTTGGGATTATGTTATTATCTTTTTATGTATGGTTATAATTTTTAAGGTAATGTTATAATTTTTTGGGGTGATGTTGTCATTGTCTCGGCATGAGGTTGTTTGATTCTGCTTGGAGGTGTCAATGGGCTGGATTGTCCATGGGTTTTGTTATCTGAGTCAAAAAAGTGGGTCCGAAATCCGATAGTTGGTCCACTAGTGCTCGAACCCAATATCTTTCAATAGAGGGCTTGGGCCTACCCCAAACCCATTACTCGGCCCAATAGTCCGCCCGCAAAAAACTGGTTAAAACTTGGCCCAAGAATCCCTCCACCAAGCCAAGCGCAATGGGTCTACCTGCATGCCCAACCTAGTCAAAACATGGAAAGAAGTCCCCAAATGTAGGAATTTGAAGTTTTAGATATTATAAATTTTTATTTATTAAACAAACACGCTTTAAACAGTAGAGTTATGCAAATGATAGATATGTGGGTAGGTGTCAACTTAATTGAGATGTGCAGTTGCTCTCTTTATTTATAAATAAAATTATTCATTATTTACTTTTTGGCTATTTTAACTCTACTTTTAATTTAAAAATATAATTTACAAAAATATTAAATTACAAAAATATTTATTATTTTTAAATGAAATTGTATATATAAATAGCCAGTCTAGTACGCCCACCCGCAAGCTCTCCCAAGAGGCCCATAAGGTTGCGCCAATAGGCCAGTGAGTGACGGGTTGTGTTACGAGTAGCCTATCCCTATCTGAAGCAGTCCGGCCTGCCTGATAACTCACTCAAGTAAAGACTTAGGCTTACCCTACCTAGATCTAGCATGAAAAAAATTCCACGAGCTGAGCTCGACCCTGTCCATAGACACCCTTAATTCTGCTAGCCAAAGTACTTTTGTGATACAATATCTAAAAATATTCATGTTAAATTTTTTAGTATACAATATATCAAAATCAAGTTTCTTTCTTTAAATACATATGTCAATACATAGAGAAGTTCACGACGTCCTAACTTACAAAGTAAAAAATTAAAGATATATAGACATCATACTAAAAGACTGGTGTGCAGAAAACCAGAGGTATCCCATCCACATGACTAAGTTCATAAGGAGACAACTAAATACAAATCAGATTTGAATACAGGAAGTGTCCCCAAAATCAAATCTCATCAACATGTTGCCACGTAAAGTAATTAAAAATAAGGGGTAGCAACTAGCTACCATTAAAAACAAAAAACTCTTAATAGTTACCATGATAACAGACCATATTCGTGTACTTTGAATTTTTGTACTAAACCTTTCTAAACTTATAATAAAAATAGAACAAAATACTAGAATAGACTAATTTACCTTTAATGATGTAATTTGCTATATTCCAAAATAGACAGTGACAATGATACAATGACAGTAACATTAAAACGATGTCATATTTATCTTGCTATACATTGAACTCTAAATGTCACCTTTGGTTCTACCATCTCACCATTTCTCGCCCAATAGTCTTTCCTTTCTCATACCTCTATCTATGTCCAATATTCCTGTTATTTTTATTTCTTATCTTGGTAACCTTTAACAATCAAAATCCTAGAGTTTAAGATTTTCTCACAAAATTAAACAATAGTAGTAACAATGACAGTGAATTTCATTGTCATTATTCATTATCAATGTTCAAATTCCATAGAAACTAGACATTGAATTTCCATTTATACATAGAAATTGTGAATGCTAAAAAAAGAATATGATCATGATCATGATTAAAAACTATCTATTGTCACTGTCTGACATTACTTTAGGTGACTCAACAGCCGCAAGTTGACACGTGGATTATTATAACCGTTATGAAGTGCAAATGGCGTCTGGAGGAGGCGCCGAATAGTTAAAGCCTTGGGGAGGCTGATGACATCCATCAGGGCTGGGCATTAAAGGAGATATGACAGCTCATTAAATAGGGTCTTGAGTGCCTATAAGTCAATAAATTCACATCCAAGTCCCCGAAAAGTGTGAGGACAACCATCATTATAAAGCATTAATTACCATAACGCCAACTCATTGTCCTCGGTGAAACCCGAGGGGTGCTTAGTCCCAAGCAGTGAACGCTTGGGCGTATGTGTCAAAGCACCGAGCAGTGGTATTTATTGATCGAGGATAAGGCCATAAAGGCTCGGCGCGTCCTGAGCAAGGGTCCGAACACCTCGAGTGAATCAGTCTTGAGAGGATTTGATAGGATAGTACTCATTATGCATAGATACGTGTGCAAGCCATTAAATGTTGAGATGAGACTCAAAGGTCCTTCAATCATTGCTAGTCCAGGTATAAATATCACTCAGAAAGTTAAACAAAGGTATGCGATTCTAATCCAGAAAGTGCTAATGACTCTCATGTCGACTAACTTAAGCTTTGGATGGGATTAGCCGGGGGTTCACCTGGCCCCTTTCCTAATCCTTTGATCATTTCAGGTTCATCGTTCAGCGTATCGCTATCTCAAGTTATTGCAGGAACATACCTGTGCAATTTGGCGCCGTTTGTAGAAAACTAACGGTCAACTTTCCCCGTAGTGATAGCATTATGGTGAACACACGATCCCAAGATGACTTGCCGAATAGCCTATGGGTGAGAAATACGGAAGCTAACTGGCCCCCAGCAGTTGTTGAATCACCCTCCTTTAGCCAGTCAAGTGTAGCTCAACGCGTCTCGCAACAGACGATTCTAGTAGACCAGATCCTTAGGGGGCAAGATGTCCTGGCTCGTGAAATCGTTGAGTTAATAGAGAAACGGGTGGGAAACCATTTGAAATGTCTTGAGAAATGCAACACTAATGTGTGGACCCGACTCGATGATTTCAAACTGTCGAAGGAAACCAGCTAGCGCAACAATAAGCGCAAAGATCGGAGTGTCCGCTGGAGTGATTCCTAGGGCACAAGATAAGAGGCCACGGGAAGGGACTTGCATGATCACCAGGGTTAGAAGTGCACGCCTCGGCATTATAAAGGGTGCGTCCCTGAGGGAAAATGCAAAGGTAGCAAGAGGCGTCGATTGAATCTATCCTGTGGGGATCTTCGCCACAAACTCTCGGGAGCTATTGAGTTGGTGGAATCCCACACAGATTCAATTGTGAGAGGGCCTAGGAATAAGAGACCCTAGGAGGACCTTCGTACACGCTTGGATACCAAACGCCAAAGACCCCTCCCTAGGGGGGATGATGACACCAAAGACA